TATACATAGGCTATACATATACATATACATATACATATAGAATGCATTTTATCTCACTGTAAGTGTTAGGGCCCAGGATGTTTATTTACTGGTTTTCATTATTGATTTTATAGATTAATATTGGGTATATTTTATATGGATAATCCATATGAAGTTTTCCTGTTTTTTTTTTACTAATATCAGTTAAATACAAACTTAATTCTTTCTATGGGCAATATCATGTTACCATTATTACAATGTATGCCACCAATTAGCTCCTTTATTTTTCTTACAATGTATGCCACCAATTAGCTCCTTTATTTTTCTTACATTTTTTATGCCTATAATGAAATGAATTTTGCTTTGTTTATTAGACATTTTTGGCTCTCATAAACCAAGTGTTCCCTGCAGAAGAGGACAGCAAAAAGGATGTGGAGGATAACTGTAAGTATCAAATTTAAAAGAATTCTGAGTGTAGTAAGGGAAAAACTCTGTCTGGAAACTCAATTAGTAGTTATAGTACTAGATACACCTAAGAGTTCAAGCGATAGGCAGGATTTTGACATGGGGTTGAGATGAAAGGAGGTGCTTAGAAGTCTGGTAGTCATTATTATCTCAATATTATATTCTAATAAAAAGACTTCTTGGAATATCTGTTAGTATAATTACAGTGGGATAAATGTCAAAACTGGTAATAAATCACTTGTGTACATGAACTAAGGTCTCCTGTTAACTAGTTTGAAGGAATTATTTTTAATCCATCTTAAGTCCAGAAATATTTATGGTCATATACATAGTTCAGTATTTTGGAAGGTAAGTCAGTAGAAGTCACTGAATATCTTTGTTTAAAGTACTCAAATATTTTAAAACAGTAGTAATTACTAAACCCTAATGTAAAATTAGTGTGTAACACTGATTTCACTTATAAACATCTTCACATGTGTGATAGGAGAAAGCTGTAGGTTTTCAAGTTTAAAGTAGAAATCCTGTGTCATTGGTTTTATATGGGTGGCAGTACTTGAGAATCATGTCCAGTTTTTTTATGCATTTTTTTAAAAAGTGATCAGATGGCTTTCTCGCCCATCCACCCAAGATGCCGAAGGGAAAGAAGGCCAAGGGAAGAAGGTGGCCCCAGCACCCACCGTGGTCAAGAAGCAGGAGGCCAAGAAGGTGGTGAATCTCCTGTTCAAGAAAAGACCCAAAAACTTTGGCATTGGTCAGGACATTCAACCCAAAAGGGACCTTACCAGCTTCATCAAATGGCCCCGCTACATCCAGCTGCAGTGGCAGAGGGCAATCCTCTACAAACGACTCAAGATGCCACCTGCCATTAACCAGTTAACCCAGGTCTTGGACCTCCAGACAGCTACTCAGCTGCTGAAGCTGGCCCACAAGTACCCACCAGAGACGAAGAAGGAGAAGCAGCGGAGGCTGCTGGCCTGGACTGAGAAGAAGGCTGCTGGCAAAGGAGACACCCTCACCAAGAGACCCCCTGTCCTCAGTGCCGGGGTGAATACGATAATTACCCTGGTGGAGAACAAGAAGACCCAACTGGTGGTGATCGCACAGGACATGGACCCCGTAGAGCTGGTGGTCTTCCTGCCGGCCTTGTGTTGGAAGATGGGTGTTCCCTACTGCATCATCAAGGGCAAGACCAGGCTGGGCCACCTCGTACACCAGAAGACCTGCACCACTGTAGCCTTCATGTAGGTGAACCTGGAAAATAAAGGTGCTCTGGTGAAGCTGGTAGAAGCCATCAGAACCAATTACAATGACAGATATGTTGAGATCTGCCGACACTGGGGAGGCATCGTCCTGGGGTCCAAGTCAGTGGCCCACATTGCAAAGCTAGAGAAGGCCAAGGCCAAAAAACTCACCACCAAACTGGGTTGATATACACACCGACTCTTCTGTACATAAGAATACTTATTCCACTCTAAAAAACCCCAAAAGGTGATCAGATGGTAGAAACACTCTAAGAAGAATAAGAGAAAGGACTAGGTTGGTCCTTGAGTACACCTTCATGTTCCTGTATGTGAGTGGTGACAGTATGGGGCAGTAGGGTATGGCAAAGCTGGGGACTGAGGGGTCAGGCAAGCCCCAGTTCCAGTTCTGGATGTGCCATTAGGAAGATGTGAGCCCAGCAGCACCTGCGACTCATAGCAAACCCTATGCACAAAAGCTTTGAGCTCTGCTGTATCCTAAGCCAACATTATTGTCTCTGACACAGCTGCCTCCATTCCCCTAGTCACTGAGTCAATCCTTCTCATAGAGGGTCTTCCGAAGGGAGACTGTCCCTCCATCCTCCCAAGTATAATGTCCCTCTCCAAGGACTGGTCTCTTCTTGCAACATGACCAAGTATGTCAGACAGAGCTTCAGAATCCTTGTATTCAAGAAGCAGCCTGGTTTCACCCTCTCCATGGCAAACCTGTTTGTTTTTTAAGTAGTCCATTTTGTATTCAGTACTCTTTTCCAGCACCACAACTCTAAGGCATCAGTTCTCCTATCATTCCTAGTCCTTGTCCAGCTTTCTGATGCATAGCACATAATGGAGAAGACCTTGGCCTGAATCAGATGCACTTTAGTCTCCAGACAGACATTGCTCCTCTTCAGTACTCTGGAGAGAGGTCCCTGACAGCAGATTTTCCCAGTGCAATTCGTCTTTTGATTTCCTGGCTGCTGGTACCAACAATGTTGATTGTGGAGCCAAGCAATCTAACCCTGTTAATGATCCCAAACTCTTCACCGTCTGTCATTATGCTGCCAGTTGGTCCAGTGGTGAGAATTTTTGCTTTGGCAGAGTTCCCAGTTTCTGATAGACCTGCACAAATATTAACCATTATTATTAGGTGGGAGGAGCCGTAGGGATGCAAAGGCTAAGTAATCAACTATTGATGGAATGATTGGTGCTTCAAACTTATCCAGCAACCCCATGAGAAAAAGACCTGGTGATCGGCTTCTGTACATAATACAGCCTCAAAAACCCTGTGGGCAGTTCTGCTCTGCCATGTGGCGTTACTGTAAGTTGGTATGTACTCAGTGACTGCTAACAACAACATTATTGGGTGCAAAAGATTGAGGAAACACCCCCCCCTTTTTTTTCTTTTTGGTTTGTTTTAGCAGTTGTTTGATAGGATAATATTTGCTAAACAGCAGTCAGAAGAAAAGAAAAAGCCATAAGACTATATATATCATGCCTAAAAGAGAGAAATGTCTTACTTTGTAAAATGGTGTTAGAGCATGTGGGACTGGGAATTAATCCTTTTCATATAATATATTTCCACTTTATGTATGTGAAGCTAATTTTAAGTTATTTTTTTAAAAAATAATGTTTTAAAGGATCTTCTTTTTGGCTGTCCCTTCATCTTGATAGACTTGTCTAATTATTTTTTTTTTATTTTTCCTGGCATTGCTATGGATTTGCTGGTTCTTTCCATTTTTATATGTGCTAAAGAACCCCAAAGAAAATATCTGACTGTCAACTGCCTTCAAAGCCCAGTCGCCCAGCCCTGCTCGATGTGCCTTTTCTGAAATCCTATCATAACGCAGCTTTAGTGGTGGAGTTTAGAATGTAGGTTTTCCAGCTCAGGTGGTTCTGTCGCATACCAGATTCATTTACTAGCTCTTTAGTGTGAGACTTAACCACCAGGCTGCATGACTTCCTGCAGATGACAGTCACATTGTTTCTTCTGCTCTTATAATGCGAGTTCCAGAGCTTTTTCTTCCTCTCTACCGTGTGGTAATAACGTGATGATAAATAAGTGATAGCTACAGAAAGTGTTCTCAACTTAGTGATTCCACTGATGTAGACTATAGTCTATTAGTAGTATGCTCATAATGTAGCAAATCCATTCTCTGTTTTTAGCTCTGTGGTTTCTATGTGAAGATCAACGTGCTAATTTTGGTTGATTATACAGAAAGGCCTTTTAAATGCAAGTTTATTAAGAACTTTGAATGTCAAACTGAAGTATGGAATTGTGTCATTGATGGAGACCCCTTGAGGGTCTTTGAGCAGAGGAAGAGTTACTCAGGATTAGGAGCCTGGGTGGTACAAGGAGTAGGCTGGTTTCTAATCTACAAGTATGCTGTTTGAATTCATGCAGAGGCTCTGTAGAAGGATGAGATGCCAGTTACTTCTCTAAAGATCAGAGCTTAGAAAACTCTTAGGAGGCAGCTCTACTCTCTACCACATTAGTTCGTCAGGAGTTGGAATCGGCTCATCGGCAACTAACAACAGCACAGTTATGCTAATGTGGCAGGCAGGACGGTTAGGGAGGAGGAGATGAGGCACTGTCTCTGTGCTCACAGGGACTGCTGGCATCACACAGAGGAGCTCTTGGTGTAGCTTGTAGCATGTTGTGCTGCTAATTAAAGTGTCATTGGTTTGAACTGAATGGCACTCCTCCTGTAGCCGTGTTGCCCTGCTAACTCAAAGTTTATGTGTCTCGGATGATTCGAATTCATCAGTGTGAGCAGTCTCCTCCTGTTAATATTTGCAGCCTTGGAAAAAGGGTCTTCACGAATCAGAATCGATTCAGTGGCAGTGGGTTTGATTTTCAGTTTCATTATCACAAAAGAGCAAGGAGACCTAAATCAGAATTGTGGCAGTAAAAGTGGAGAGAAAAGAGAGACATATCAGAGGTTTGGATTATGAATGCCAGTAATAAGCCTGATACTGTGCTTGTCTTTGTTATGTTATATGAAGACTTTGAAAAGAGATGGAAAAAAAAGGTTTAGAGAAGGAAGAGGTTCTGAATGTTGATTAAGGTTTAAAACCTGGAAGACTGAAAAAAATAGTGATGATAATTTTTAAACAGAAGATTATTTGAGAGAGAAGTGATTGTATTTATTTAGTATGTAATATAAAAAAATTTCATACTCACTGCAGCTGAGTTGGTTCTGATGCAGAGCAACCCCCTGAGGCTGTAAATCTATCTTAACTGGAAGACACTGCCCATCTTTCTTCTCTGGAGCCACTGATGAATTAAAACCGTCTGAGATATATTGCCTTTGCATAAACGGTGCAACGTGCTGTATGCCGCTAGTGCAAGAATGGTGTTCAGCAAAGTGAAGGACTAGGAAAATAGGTTGGGAGTCAACTCTAACATGTAGGTGGAGCAACTGTTAGGGAAATAAGAGTTCTGTTCTGATTTAAGAGCTCTGAAGGTACATTACCAATGGGAAGATAGGTGGTCAAATTCCCTCACCAGCTCCATGCAGGAAATGGATTTGTTTCCATAAAGACTCCTCCAGTCTAGCAAACTCATCGGGCACTTCTGCTCTGTCACATGGGGTGGCTGTGAGGTGACATTTCTCAACTGCACCTAACAACCACAAGCAAGGCCAAGCTCATTGTTGTCGAGTCTGAACCTACTCTCAGTTGGCCCTCCAGTTTTCTATATGTTGACCTTTCAGTTTTCTATATGTTGCCTTGAAGTGGATTGTCTGTCTTTCTCCTCCCAAGCAGCCATTGGGTTCAAACCACCTCCTTTTGGGCTCATAATGCAACTCCGAACCTACTAGCTACAAGAACTCTTAATTTTATTATATCAATTGTGAGACACTGACAAAATGATTTAACTGTCCTTTGCTATTCTAAATTTTTATTTTTTGGAATTTTATCTGTAAAATACAGAGTTTGGAGCTAGATTAGTGATTGTTGAAGTGCCCTTCATTAGTTGAGTTCTTCATCAGTAGACAAGATATACGCATCTAGTTGGATATTCATTATTTAGAAATACGAAGATGCTGGAGAACAGTATTGAATATATGATAGACTACCAGGAGAGCAAACAGGTTTGTCCTGGAGAGGGTTAAACCAGGCTGCTCTTTGGAGGGAAGGATTCTGGAGCTTCTTTTGACATACTTTGGGCATGTTGCAAGGAAGGATCAGTCCTTGGAGAGGGATGTCATGCTTGGGAGGGTGAGGGGACAGGGCAGGAGAGGAAGACCTTCGATGAGATGGATTGATTCAGTGACTGGGGTAATAAGGGTAGGTGTGTCAGAGACAGTAAGGTTGGTACAAGATAGAGCAGGTTTCAGGGCTATTGTACGTAGGATCTCTATGCGTCCTAAGTGACTTGATGGCACATAACAACAACACAACAACAACAACTGTAACAAATTTGTAAACTGGATATAAGTTAAATCAGTCTCTTGGTTACTTTTACATATCCCAGGGATTTAAAGAGGTAGAAATGAAATCTAACCTGATAATAGAATTTTAGTATAGATCAAAGTAATTTTAGCTTAACATGGTTATATTTTTACTTCCCCCCAAGTAACTATTAATTTGCAATATTTTATTTCTTAGGTTCATTAATGTATTTAAATGAAGCTACACTCCTACATAATGTCAAAGTTCGATATAGTAAAGACAGAATTTATGTAAGTATTTTACCTATGGTTTATGCTTTTCTGGGGTTATTTATTTACATGCTACTGTTTGAATTATTGAGCTTTAGATTTTCTGACAAAAAAACCATGCCTCTTCTGAGCCAGTGCATAGAGTATGTTTTCCACAAAGATGAGGATAATTCTTACTTAAAACTACTCTAGGTTTTAGAACTTGTTATGCACTTGTTTGACACTCAATAAATGTTTATGGGCTGAAAATAGAACATCATCTGATATCTTTTAAACGAAAATAACATTTATTTTGGATATTTTAAAAATGATATTATAGTTTGGATTTTTATTTTTTCTGATGTCTCTGTAGATCTGCTTACCACATTGACTTTTTATATTGTTCAACAGGAAATTTATTGCACCCTGTAAAGGATATATAAATATTAAAATAAGAAGTTTTAAAATTTTCATTATCCTTATTAATAAGGAACAGAAGGCAGTATCAGGGAAATAGCAAGAACACAGAATATCTAACTAGCAAACCTACGTTGATGCAACATTTCAGTGAGCTCTAGCTGGCTTGCTTCAAAAATCCTGAATTTTTAAAAAAAATTATATTCTTTTAATGTAAATGGTTGAGGTTTGTAACAAGCCGTTCAGTGGATATGTGACTAGTATGTTTTAATTAGAGTTATTCACTGGCAGTGTACATTTTATTCCAGTGTGACCTAGTGGTCGATTACTTTGTTGTCTGGAGATAAATTACCCACTGTCGTTCTCCTTTTATAAAGATGCGACTCTTCATTATTTTTGAACGAAGAAAACACATGGCTGCTTTGACACCTCCTAGATCAAATGACAGTCTTAATCTTTTATATCACTATCAATTTGCCTAATTGTCCTTACTTAATTCTGACTAAATTACCTTTAGTCTTTGCCATCTGTCCAAGTGGTAACAGCTGGGAAATAGAACTAATCTAGATTTTTTTCAAGAGTTTACATGACATCTTTTGGTTATATACATAAGTATTCTTGTATTTTAAGGCTTTACTTTCTTGAGTTTTTAAAAATCAATTAAATAGTGTTTAGGATATAATATGATTATTCTTGATTAGAAAATTATGTAGAAGCAAAATTAACTCAATTGTTAGTTTCATATTGAATATGTGATATATATATACTAAAGGCTGCTGTTGATACTGTGCTAGTACAGATTTGTAATGTGCCTATTAAAACATTTTAAGTTGTACTAAATGAATAGAGTGAGACTTAATTTGAACTTAACCAAGAAACACCATCTTTCAAGGAGAACTGACTGGTTGAAAAAATAAATCACTTCTGTCATCACTTGTTGGTGGTGAAGGAAGCTTATTTATTTTGGCAATTTTTAATTGCTTTAACATCTTCTTGAGGTTCAAAATACTTTTATTTTACAGAATGATTATTTTTATTTAAGATAGTTTTAGTTTGGGATATTAATGCAAAAGATTAATACCCATGGGTTTTCACTTGTCTTAATGCTTTTGTGTTCTAATAATAGTAGTAACCCCCTTGCTGCCTGGGACCATTAATAATGGAAAATTTACATGTGATGTTAATTGTATTTTCTATTTTTATTATTTTATTTTTTATGTGTTAGTCTAGTACTGCAGCAAAGTTTGGTGAAGGGAGTTACCTGAATGAGAGAGGAAAATGGAAAAACTTAATTCCTCCTTCTCCCATCCCCCTAAAAAAATCTCATTTCTGCACATGAAACAATATATGATACAGTTATATAAAATTAGATATGTGTCATCGCTCTTCAAAATTAAAGATAAATGGTTATGTAAAAGATTTTACATTCTAAATATTTCTTTATCCTATTAATTTTGTTGAGTTAATAATTATATTTTCAATAATACTAATTGTCTTTTTTTTCACATTGGGTGCACTTGATCTACTTCAAATTTTTGTTAAATTGCATGTTTAATTTCAGAAATAAATCTGGCTCTCTGGGAAATTTTAAGTTTTTATTCCTCATGTATAATTTCTATATCATGTTGAAGAATTGAACTTTTCAATTATGTCTAGCTTGCTTTTGCTCCTCTTTTCATGCAGTATGTCTGCATTTGGATAGATGACCTCTATTATTAGTTTGTGGCTTGTCCTGGCTCATTAACTCCTGTTTTGAGACCCAGTGTTTTTAAAATTAAGTCAAGATATGATTGGTATGCTTTCCTTCCCAGCCAGTATTGCCTTTCAGCTGTAAAACACGTTAAAAATCAGTAATCACTATACCCATTATTACTATAATACATGCATAGGAAGGAAGCAATTTAAGATAAAAGTTTAATTATAATATTTTTATGCTTTTTACTAATAAGACTTATCACCCTTAGATTTGAGTTGAACAATGGCTAACCCACATTTAACATTCTCATTGGTTATTTGTATCTGAGACTTCCTTTTGTCTAGCGGATAAAAATTACTACTTGGAATTTCTTATTTTAACTCTAGTCCAGGAAATATCTTTGGGAACATTGCCTAGATTCTAGATGAGTACTCTGAGAGCTCAGAATTTTTTTACGTCATTTCCCTTCCACAGTTAGAAGCAGAAAAGAGGAAATTTGTGGTCCTGCATATCTTAGTTTTACCAGCGTATCTAAACTACAGCTTGTTTCCTTCTACAGGAAGGAATTTTATAAATCATACTGTTGCATTTTTTGGATCCTCTCAAGGCACCGTTAAATTCAAAATTTTAAAAGCAAATTTAAATTGCTCACTATTTAGCTTATCAATGTTCTAAGCAATGGGTAGCATGCATTGTCTTGCAGGAATCTGGGACCTCAAAGATGACCTCTGAGGTCATCAGAAAGCTAAGTCAATTCTTGGCATTCAGTGATTAAGACATTCTTTAGTAGCGGATGAAGACATATGAACAGATGACCAAAGTAGTCTACTTAAGGAATATGAAGAATAAAAAATTTTGACTATAGGCATAGAAATACAAGTGTAGGGCTGAGAGAAATTTTAAAAATACAGTAGTAGTAGAAGAAGAAGTTAGATTGAAATAAGAGTCTTTAGAACTCAGATTTCTGCTAGCGGTAACTTGATAGTGATGCCACAAAAACAGGAAAGGAAGATGAAAAATGAAGATTTTCTTTGAGATACAGTGAAATCTGGAGAGATAATCTTGACTTTGGGCTTAGAGTTATGTCTTGGAAAAAGTGTAGCCAGAGTGCCCCTTGGAGGCGAAAATGACGAGGCTTTGTCTTTTATACTTGGTACATGTAGAGAGGTGAGGCTGTTCCTATGAAAAGGACACCATGTTTGGAAAAATGGAGGCTCAGCAAAGGAGAGGAAGAACCTCAAAGAGATGGCGTAACACAGGGATGTCAGCAATGAATGCTAATGTGTCAGAGATGAGGAGGATGGCACAGGATAGGACAGGGTTCAACTCAGTGGCACCTAACAACAACGACAACCTGGATGAAAAATATCTATATGTAGACAATGAGTTGGAAAAACATGGGTCCTGTAGAGATAAGGGTCTTTCAGATAAGGAGAGTTCGAGTGGCCTACTGGCAAGAAGCTTTGCTGCAATCCCGAAGGCAGGCAGTTCAAGTCTATTGGATGTGCAGCTTGAGAAGGATGAGCAATCTCTTTCTGTGCAGTTAACTGCCTCTGAAAACCCACTGGAGGATGAGATAAGGGTTGTTTCAAACTCTGGTCCACAGCAACAACAAAAACATGAGATAAGGGAGTGCATAGGCTGAGAATGCAGATGTGGGATGGGGTTGTAGGTATGGGATGAGTAAACTTTTATTTCTTTTGCTGTGTTGTCTTACCTTATTTTTCTCTAATACATTTGTTTATTTGTAAAGAGAAAGTAATTTGACATATTATACATGAATGAAACACAGTGTAAGCAAATCATTGATTGTATGCCAACCCTAAAAATGTTAAAAATAAGTCATTGATTGGACCAAATAAAAGAAAATAATTTGAAGATTTTATTGTTTTGCCTTTCCAATTTAGACATATGTCGCCAACATTCTGATTGCAGTGAACCCATACTTTGACATACCTAAAATATATTCATCAGAAACAATAAAGTCATATCAAGGAAAATCTCTTGGGACAATGCCGCCTCATGTCTTTGCAATTGGTATGTAATATAATTGTGTCTTAAGGCTCTTTTTCCCTTATATTATATATTTTGTCTCAGTTTTATTATTATTAAGAAAAAATACAATGAACTGAATATATTTGGAAGATATGTGTGCCTTTTAGGTGCTTTAACATTGTTAAGGAGTGCATTTTACATAGGGTGAGTCAGAATACCTTTGCAGCCAACTCATACATTGTCTTTGTTAAACTCCTGTGTCCTTATGGGTGTGTTCACCCAGTTAAAGCAGAACATAGTAAAAATTAACTTTTGACTGCTAATTAAAGATGTTTAAAATAATGCCATGGAAGTGTGTAGAGTAGCATGTTGATCAATTGGTCAACATGATGGGCCTCTTTTAGTACATTTCTGAAGTAAGAGACAGTGGTCTTACAGGGACAAACTCCTTAAGAACTAATTTTGAATTAAAATGGTTTTAATTAGAGACTTATTGAATAAAATATTGAATTAAATAATCCTCAATTTGTTCTTTTTATTTTAAAATTAAGACAGTGTACTTATTTGTTGTTGTTAAGTGCCCTTGAGTTGAGTATGACTGATAGTGACCCTGTGAGCAATAGATCTGATCTCTGTCCTGTCCCGTACCATCTTATGGTTCTTGAGTCTTCCTCTCCTTTATTGACCCTCCACTTTTCCAATGGGGTGGTCAGTTTCCCTTTCCAAGTAAGAGTCGCTCTTAACAACATATTCAAAATATGTGAGATAATATCTTTGCCTTCAAGGAACATTCTGGCTATACTTTCTGCAAGACACATCTCTTGGTTCTTTTTGACAGTCCATGGGATCTATTCAGCACTCCTCTCTAAGAGCACAACTCAAATGCATCAATTTTTCTCCTTTCATTCTTATTCATTGGTCAGTGGTCAGGTGCTTGGAAAGACGGTAGTTTGAATTACACACACTTAAGTCTTTAAACTGACATCATTGCTCTTCAGGACTTTGGAAAGTAGACTTACCCCACCCAGTGCTATATGCCTTCAGATCTCCTGATTGTTGGTACCAAGATTGTTGATTGTGGGTCCAAGCAAGATGAAATCATTACCAATTTCAGTCTTTTCTCCATCTATCATGATGGTGCCTAGCAGTGAGGACTTTTGGTGGATTTGTTTTGTTTTTTATGTTGAGATGTAATCCATATTGAAGTTTGCAGTTTTGATCCTCTGCAGCAAGTACATCGGGTCCTCTTCATTTTCAGCAGGCATGGTTGTCATTTGCATAAGGTAGATTGTTGATGAGCTTTCCTCCAGTATCTTTTTCTTACTCCTGCTTCTCTAATGAATGATTTGTTCAGCATGTAGATTGGCTGGTTATGGAGAGGATACAGCCCTGATGCACACTTTCATGGTTTTAAACCATGCAATGTTCCCTTGCTCTGTTTCGATGTCAGCATCTTGCTCTAGGTTCAACTTTCTAATAAGCATAATTAAATGTCCTGAAATTCCCATTCTTCCTAAAGTTAGTTGTAGTTTGTTAGGATTCGCACAGTCAAATGCCTTTGAATAGTAAATAAATCACAAATAGACATTCTTCTGTTATTCTTTGCTTTCATTCAAGATCCGTTTGACATCAGCAATAATATCCTTAGTGCCACGGCCTCTTCTAGAATCGGTTTGTACTTCTGGCACTTTTCTGTCAGTATACTATTCTAACCATTTTTTTATGATCTTCAGTAATATTTTGCTTGCATGTCATTTAATGATATATTCAATAATTTCCATATTCTGTTGATCAACTTCTGTAAAGATTATATCTTTATAACAACATATATTTGTAGCTTTATAAAGATTCTGTTCGATCACCTTCTATAAAGACGATAGCCTTGGAATCCCTGTGGTACAGTTTTACTATGTTCTGTAAGATTGCTTTGTGGTTAGAATAGACTTGATAATAACATTGTTTTGGTTTTATTTTTAATTACAAGCTAGTTATATGGTTTAAATTCAGCTGCTCTGCCAAAAAAGATAGGCTGACTCCTCCCATGCGGATCAGCGATGAGTTGGTCCTGACCCAAGGGCATATAACAACAATAACAACAGTTATATATTTTTTGTGTGTTTTTGAAATAGTAAATCTGGGAAATTTAAAGCAATTAATTTTGTCTATCTTTGAAATACTGCTAAATTCTATGAGATATTTAAATTTGATAGTAGATTCACCAACGATGAGAGGAAAAACTTTAACAGATTTATTTCACAATTGCAATTCTTTTTTCTTTAACAGAGGTTTTGGTTGCCAGATTTATTAATTGGAAGCCATTGCTTCTTGCTTTTCTTTGGAGACTTCATTAATTATGCATTGAGCATTTTTATCCCTCTGCAAATCTGCTCTCATATTAGGGAGTACCAGGACACAACACATAATATTGTGAAAGGAGCAGATACTCCTGCTTCATAAAGGAGAACTGTGCCCATTACTTACATCCATAGCTCCATGCAAATAACTACATGGTCAGTCATACCACCCTTCATCCTCCTGCACCTATTTTCTACCAGTCATTGGGTCCAGTGTTTGTTGCAACACTCACAGACTACTCACACTTGTGTGGTTTATTAAGGAAACAGGTTGATGAATGGGAGGCAAAGTGTATCACACAGTGCAAGTCCAGGTTTAGTCTAGGAGTCCCAAGTTAGATTTACAAAGCACAATGCCTCTATTAGTCAAAGTCCTGGTGTAGTTCAGCAACACAAAGCAAGAAGCCTCTGGTTTCCTTAGTTATCCAGCAAACTTTATCTCAGAGCAGTTATAAGTCAGCTTTTTCTTCTGTCATCCAGCAAGCAAAAACCTTTAACTGTGGCCTTTATCTCCGGGGTTCCTCTGATTACAGCGTCCCACAGTCTTTTCACAACAGTGCTACAGTCTCTTCACCCTTTCTCCACTACCATTATAGTTTGTTTTTTATGGTATAGAAAGCACTCTCTTTGTATTGGTTCCATAGCTGTTGATGATTTACAAGACCATGTGTCTACGTTTAAGGTAGCTGGAGACCATGCCCTACCCTCAAGAAGGACTATTGCTATGACTATAAAGGCCAATTTTCAAGAGTTTTGATACCCCACAATTGTAATTCTGTTTCTGTAGCAGAGATTTTAGTTGCCAGTTTTCTTAATTGGAAGCTGTTGCTTCTTGTTTTTCTTTGGAGACTTCATTAATTATGCATTGTGAGCATTTTTATTCCTCTGCAGATCTGTTCTCATATTATGGAGTACTGGGCCACAGCCCATAATGTGGAGATGTTATAACACTTACTAAAAAGTTGTTTACTTGGATTTTGTATTAAGCACCTGTAAGGATTATAAGAACTTTTTTAAGTAAATGATTTTATAAACATTTTGAAAGTGTTTGAATGATTTTCATTTTAAAGTTTAGTTAACTGTAAAGCACCTATTTCTTTTCTCCTAGGAGCAAGTGCTCTTTATTTTTAAGTAAAACATCTACCCTGTGTAAGGCTGTAATAACTATGCTGTTCACCATTCATGTGCTTTTCATCCCAGCTGATAAGGCTTTTCGTGACATGAAGGTGCTGAAGATGAGTCAGTCCATCATTGTATCTGGAGAATCAGGAGCTGGAAAAACAGAAAATACAAAATTTGTGCTCAGGTCGGTATTCAGATAATCTAGAGTATTTAGAACAGGTTGACCTTTCTTACTTTTGTTGCATAAATTGGAAATGATGAGTTCTTTTCCCTTTAAGACACATACTTTATTTATCTGGAACCTAAGCAGTAGATTTTTGAAAGCTAGCTCTGACATTCTTTGTCTGGGATCCTGGTTTCCTAGTAGGAAATCTAGGAATGTTGTTGTTGTTGTTATGTGCCGTCGAGTCGTTTGCGACTCATAGCGACCCTATGTACAACAGCCCTAAACCGTGCTCTATCCTGTGCCAATCGCATTGCCTCTGACACACCCATCCCGATTATCCCAGTCACTGAATCAATCCACCTCATAGAGGGTCTTCCCCTCCTGCGCTGTCCCTCTACTCTACCCAGCATGATGTCCCTTTCCAAAGACCTGTCTCTCCTTACAACATGTCCAAAGTATGCCACACGAAGTCCCAGAATCCTTGCCTCCAAGGAGTAGCCTGGTTTAACCCTCTCTAGGATGAATCTGTTTGTTTTCTTGGCAGCACCACAGCTCAAAGGCATCAATTCTCCTTCTATCCTCCCTAGTCATTGTCCAACTCTCTGATGCATAACAAGTGATTGCAAAAACCATGGCCTGTATCAGGCGGACCTTAGTCTCCATACTTCTTAAAAATTAAGCTTTTACATTCTTTTCTCAGTATCCCTGCTGTAACCATTGTTATTGCGTACTTTTTACAATGGGCTACCTCTTCCACCTTTTAAAAAATCTTTTCTCATCCTTCCTCTTATTTGCTGCTGTCAAATTAAGCTCTCTAAACTTTGTTTTGGGGCTCTGGTGGCCTAGTGGTAAGAAGTTGTGCTGCAATTCTTTAGGCATGTGGTTTGAATCCACCAGCTGCTCTGTGGGAGAAGGCTAAGCAGTCTTCTGTGCCGTTAACCGCCTCTGGAAATTCCCTGGAGGCTCAGCTTTGAGTCGGTTCTGATTGATGGTACACACACACACACACACACACACACACACACACTCTCTCTCACACACTCATGCTCGCGTGCTCTCTCTCTCTCTTTTTTAAATCTTAGCATTTTAAATATGGAAGTAGCCACTGGCATTCATAGTTCTTTCAATTTACAGACTTAGGAGGATTAAAATAAGTAGTGATGCAGCTGCTAGGACTGGTTCATTCTGGAGTCTCTTTGATGTTGTTCTCACTTTATTAAAGCTCTTAGTTGCATAGCAGCAAACTTTTAGAAATTTGTTAATTTGTTATGCCAGTGTATGGCTGTTATTAACATAAAACGAGTTTCAAAGTTCTTTATATATATGTAGTTCTGGTTAAGTGACTATTTCGCAGTATTCAGTTTCTTTCTCTGATGTATGTGATAGTCATATATGGTCAATCTGTTGTTGATTTATACCTGTGATAATTAACAAAAAATTAAGACACTGTAAATATATAATAAAGCATACATAAATCAGATATTACCCTTTGTTTTGAATCATACCAGGCAAATAGCCATCTATTGTGATTTTCAATGCAGTACAACGTTAATCATGATAACTTCCTAGTTCAGTGACAGATTGCCTTATTTTCTTGATTGACTCCTGCCATACAGGACTTTAGAATCTAATGTTGTTGTTGATTTCCGTCGAGTTGAGCATGACTCATAGCAACCCTATGAACAAAAGGCCTGAAGCCTTTCTATAAATACCATAATTTATGAAAGTTCATAGAGTTTCTAGAGGCATGCTGTTTAGGAAGTCGATGCCACTCCTGCTTCCAAACATGTCTTAAATATTCTTGCATGAGATGTGTGTCACATTTAAAGAACCAAATAGCTAAAATTATAATGTTTCCCAAAACAGTCTAAGAAAATCATGATGATTTGAGTGTTAAAGACAATATGAACAGAATTCTAAATGTTTAAAAAGCTCTAATAAAAAAGCTATAGTAATTGCATATAAATATACATATATAAATTGTAAGCATATAGGTAAAATGACTAGGTTTCTGTTTTAAATGTATTAAGCTAATATAAAAGCTGTAAATACAATATTTGCAATATTGACATTTAAATATTTCTCATTATGTTACAGATACCTGACTGAATCGTATGGGACAGGTCAAGATATTGATGATAGAATTGTTGAAGGTAATTGTTAATATTTCAAGCTCTAGTCACTATTAGGGATATAATGAAATGGATGAAATCTTCTCAAGTGGTTTGGAATTCTTTTTCTCTTGGGATCTGTGAGACTCCTCTACCTTCTCTGAATACTCATAGGTCATCTTCCTACTTGCTATATTTTCCTCCCCTACCTCATGTAAGCTGTGACAGGACAGGATTATTTGTTTTCTGTTCTAAGTCCTTAGACTAAAATCAAACCTGCTACCATCTAGTCAGTTCCTTCTCACGGACTCCCTACAGGACAGAGCAGAACCAGCTCTGTGGGTCTGGGTCTGCTGACCCCTGTGGGTCCTAGTCTGCTGGCCCCCGCTGCCACGTCTTTCTCCCATGGAGTGCCTAGTGGCTTGACACCTCTGACCTTTTGGTTGGTAGCCCAATGCTTGATACGCTATGTCACCAGGGCTCCTATTATTGTCATTTTTGAGCTCCATAAATATCAGTTGGATGGATAGAACAAATATAGGAGGTTCCCTAGACCTTTTGTTTTGAAGACCTAGTTTTCTTACACCCAACTTTCCCCTCCCCAATAGTACTAGGGTAAAATTTAAGATGGAGTGGAATTGTTAGGAATTGAAAAGCTCTAATCAAAGAAAGAATTCATGTGGAAGGGGATTTGCTTAAGCTATTTGTGCTTTAATACCCTTAGAAAATCTTCACCTTGTTGTGCATCACATTTAGATAAAATATGTATGCAGATACTTCTTAAAACATCACTACTACACATTTGTTATGTTTTAACTTTTAAAAAATGTTATATTTTTTTCATCTAATGAACTCAATATAAATTATTTCCTAGTTTTACTTAACAGCTTTTAACTGTGGTAGTATGGTTTAGATAAGAAGATCTTATCAGTAATGGTTTACCCAGAGTAAAGTACCTTACTGTGTGTGGAAATCACTCTTTAAAACTGAATAAATAAACGAAATCCCAAATTATTGGTGAGCTTAGTTAAAGACACATTGGTATATTGATTCATTTACTTGAAGTGCATGCTCAGTTAAGAATTAGATATACCTTAGCTTCCTTTTTTTTGTCTCTCAATCGTTATATGCAAATTCTTTTCTTCTGATCTTTCCCTCATTTCTCTGTATACTTTGTAAATGCCTATTCTTCCTATAAAATTAAGCATAGAGTAATATGCTGAAGATCTGTTACCTAATTTTAGTGAATGCTTCATGACACTCCCTAAATTGGTCTGACCACCCTTTCCTATGCTAGTACCCACTGCACTGATAACAGTTCTCTGTGACACTAAGTGCCTTATGAACAGGAGGGCAGGGATCATATCTTACTTATTTCCCCATATCCTACACTTTGAATAGTGCCTGAACATCTACTCTAATAAAGTTTATAACCTAGAAAGCCTTAATGGGAAGTTATGCTCTGTCAAACGGGGTCATGTTGTGTCAGAATGAACTTGCTGACACCTAACAACAATCACTTGAAGTACTTGCTGCAAAAGACCAAAGAGAGAGCTCTGGTGGCTTAGTAGTAAGGAATTATACTGCCAACTCAAAGATATAAAGTTCAAATCCACCAGTTTCTCTGAGTGAGAAAGACAAACAGTCTCCTCTCATGTGATTAACTGCCTCTGAAAACTTGCTGGAGGGTCACCTATTAGTCAGTTCCAGCTTGACAGTACACAACACAACCATCACTTGTGCTTTGTGTGTTCATTGCCTTTGAGTTGAGCATGACTCAGAGGAACCCTATGAACAAAAGGCCTGAAGCCCCTCTACAATTATTGACATTTATCAAAGTTCATAGGGTTTCTGGAGACATGTTGTGTAGGAAGTGGATACCACTCCTGCTTCCAAACCTGTCATAGTATGTTATTGTTGTTATGTGCCATTGAATCACCTGCGATGTACAGGAACTCTGAACCCTTCCCTGTCCTGAGCCACTCTCACTAATTCCAACACACCAACCCCAATTGCCCCAGTTTCTATATCAATCCTTCTGATCCGGGGTCTTCCTCTCCTGCACTGTCCATCCACCCTTCTGAGTATGATGTCCTTTTCCAAGGACCGATCTCTCCTGGCCACGTGACCAAAGTAAGTGAGGCAGAACTTGAAAATCCTAGCCTCCAAGGAGACACTTGGTTTCACCCTCTCCGAGAAATATCTGTTTTCTTGGCAGTCCATGGTATGTTCAAGACTCTTCTGTAATACCACAACTCGAAGGCATCTATTCTTCTTCTGTCATCCTTAGTCATTGTCCAGCTCTCTGAAGCATAGCAAGTAATTGAGAAGACCATGGCCTGGATTAGGTGCACCTTTGTATCTAGACTGACATCGTTGCTCTTCAGCACTCTGGAGAGGTCCAGGACAGCACATTTTCCCAATGAAATTTGTTTTTTGATTTATTGACTGCTGGTGTTGAGAGTGTTGATTGTGGATCTGAGCAAGCTGTAATTGCTAACAACCTCAATCTCTTCTCCATCTATTATGGTGCTGCCAATTGGCCCAGTGCTGAGAATCTTTGTCTTCTTGATATTGAGCTTCAATCCATATTGAAGACTGCAGTCCTTCACCTTTTGTGGCAAGTGCTTCAGGACTTCTTCAGTTTCAGCAAGCAAGGTTGTTCTGCATATAGTAGGTTATTAATGAGTCTTCCTCCAATCTTGATACCACATTCTTCCTCATAAAGTCCTGCTTCCCAAATGATCTGTTCTCCATAAAGATTGAAAAGGTACGGGGATAGGATGTATCCCTGATGCACACCTTTCCTGATTTTGAACCATACAGTGTTTTCTTGCTCTGCTCTGAGGATTGCTTCTTGGTCCAAGTATAGGTTTAGTATAATCACAATCACGTGTTCTTAGATTGCTGTTTTCCTCAAGGTTAGCCACAATTTATTATGATCCACACAGTCAAATGCCTTTGCATAGGCAATGAAACACAGATAGACATTCTTCTGGTACTCTCAGTTTTTTGCCAAGATCCATCAGACATGGGCAACAATGTCCCTAGTGTCACACCTCTTCTAAACCCTGCTTGCATTTCTTGTAGTTCTTTGTCAATGTACTGTTCAAGTCTTTTCTGGATAATCTTCAGCAGGATTTTGCTAATGTGTGATATTAGTGATATTGTTAGATAATTTCTACACTCTGTCGAGTCACCTTTTTCTTTGAATGGGAATAAATAATGGGTCTCTCCCAGTCAGTTGGCCAAGTAGTTGTCCTCCAGATTTCTTGGCACAACTTAGTGAGCCCATGCAGGGCAGCATCTGTTTGCTGAAATATGTCAATTGGTATTCCATCAATTCCTGGGGCTTTATTTTTTGTCCAGTCCTTCAGAGCAGCCTCCATTTCCTCCTTCATCACCATTGCCTCTGCTCATATGTTGTTTCTTGAAATTCTGTGTAAGCCAATTCTTTTTGGTACAATGACTGTGTATACTCCTTACATCTTCTTTTAATGCTTCCTGAATTATTCAGTATTCTTCCCATAGCATTCTTAAACACTGCTACTCATGGCTTGAATTTATTCTTTAGTTCTTTCAGCTTAAGAAATGCTGAGGGATCTCAGCCCTTTTGATTCTCTGACTCCAGCTCCTTGCACGTTTCATTATGATATTTTGCCTTGTCTTTCTGAGTGGCCTTTTGAAATCTTCTATTCAACTCCTTAACTTCTTGATTTCTTCCCTTTGTTTTGGCTTCTCAGTGCCCTAGTACAATTTTCCCAGTCTCTCCTGACATCCACTTTGGTCTTTTTTTCTTCTTCCTTCTTTGTAATGACTTTGTGCATTCTTCATGAATGATATTCTTGATATCTTCCCACAGCTTATCTGATCTTCATTCATTAGTAAATACAAGAGCCTTGGAATTATGTATAGATTCCTTCTTATTAATATATATATTTTTAGTATTTGAATGTTGGTCAACCTAGGAAATGAAATCATACTATTAGTATTACTTATGTTAATTTTTTATTGGAATATTTTCATTTTCTCAATAGCTAATCCACTCTTAGAAGCCTTTGGAAATGCAAAGACAGTTCGCAACAATAATAGCAGTAGATTTGGAAAATTTGTAGAAATACATTTCAATGAAAAGGTAAGTGAGAGTGGGTTTGGGGGGACTATGTTTGGGAAATTTTTGTGAGAATTAAAAAAGGCTTGATAAAAATGATTGTTATCTAGCATTTGTTGGTTAATTTTAGTTACAACTGGACTTGACCTGATAGTAAATTTCTTTATGATAGTTTAAATAATTTAGCAAATATATATATATATTCATTTAAAGTGATATTGCATCTATTAAATTGCTTATTTAAAGCAATTATATATTCGCTTTATGTAAAGTGACTCACCAAAAGCTCCTTTTACTGTTTAGAACCCAAACACTGGATTTGACATTATAACCCAAATACATAATACTGTTTCTGGACTATTCTTACAGCACATTCTATTGAATATATATTGAAGTGGGTTTATAATGAGGATGTTTGAAATGAGAGATGACCTCTGTGGGTACTTTAAACTTATATTTACTTATAATTTTTCCTCTTTAGTTGATAATTATTGTAATTTTTAGTAAACAACTGTTTATCAAAAAGCAAATTATTTAGCGTATTTACTCTTTAGATAATTTACTCTTTAGGCATGTAAATACAAAAGTGTGTATTTTCTCTTTTCTTTTTTTAGAGTTCAGTTGTTGGAGGATTTGTTTCACATTATCTGCTTGAGAAATCTAGGATCTGTGTTCAAGGCAAAGAGGAAAGGAATTATCATATCTTTTATAGATTGTGTGCTGGGGCCTCTGAAGATATTAGGGGAAAACTTCATTTGAGCTCTCCAGATAATTTTCGGGTAGGTTAGATGAAAAGAAATATCATACAATGTGCAGGTTAAATTACCTTTAATGAATTTTTTCCCCCATAGGATTTTGATATCTAGTTTTATGTAACCTTTATTAAACAAAGTGAATGGTGGTTATACTGAGTTATGTGTTGAAATTTACTGCTGAATTTAAATATAATACTATATATGGAGGTATGTAATGGAATACGTAAAAGGATAGCTGTTAAACCTCTTACTAATTTAAACTTAATTAGAAATTTATAATAGTTCTGTAATGCTAGCATTAATGTTACCTCTGACTTACCTGTAAAAACAGTTTGACCAGTGAATTAATATTAATAAAGGAAGCATGACTATTCTTTATCAGCTCAATAACAAGTTTTTATTGCCTTCCCAGGGGAATTTATTGCATAAAAAAGGGGCACAAATTAAAATAAGGTACAGTTTCTGCTCTTGGGAAACTTAGAATCTGGGTAGGAAATGTGCACACACATTAATTGAGAAATAACATGTTGAATGATGAGAAAGAGAGATGTATAGACTGTAATAACAGCATAGGCATGCGGTTCGAGGCCACCAGTTGCCTTGCAGGAGAAGGATGGGCAGTCTCCTCCCATGTGATGAGCTGCTTCTGAACACCTGCAGAAGGGTCAGCTATGGGTCGGTTCTGATTCTATGCTACACAACAACAAGTAGAAGAGTTATACACTAGATGTAAAAGATGGAAAGGTCATTTCTAACAGATGTACAAGGTAAGTAAAGGACAGGAACCATGTAAGGGTAAGGCTGTGAGAGTGGTGGGAGAAGAGACTGGAGAGCTTGGTTTTACTTCTGTAGTTAATAACTTGTGGAAGGATGCTAGGTAGGAAATGAAATACTAAATATGTATTTCATTCTAGTATTAGTATCACCTCTTTTCCAAGAAAGGAGTTCCAAAAGAATATAGAAATTATTAAACAATATTATTAATATCACATGCAAGCAAAATATTGTTGAAGATCATAAAAAATGGCTAGAACAGTACATTGACAAAGAACTAACAGAAGTTCAGTCTGGTTTTAGAAGACACCATGGAACCAGGGATATCATTGCTCAAGTCAGATGGATCCTGACTGAAAGCGGAGAATACTAGAAAAAATGTCTGTTGTTGTTGTGGAATGTTGAGTCAGAACTGACCTATAGCTGACCCTTCAGCAGGTTTCAGAAGCAATAATTCCATGGAAGAAGATTGCCCATCTTTTTCCCATAGAGAAGCTGGTGAATTTGAACCACATGCTTTTGGGATAGCAGCACTTCCTAAAAAAAAGTCTGTCTGTGCTTTATTTATTTATATGTGCTTTATTTATGCAAAGGTGTTTATTTAATCATGGATCATAACAAATTATGGCTAACATTGAGAAGAATGGGAATCCTAGAACACTTAATTATGCTCATATGAAACCTATTCCTAGAACAAGAAGCTGTTGTCTAAACAGAACAAGGGAATACTGCATGGTTTAAAATCAGGAAAAATGTGCATCAGGATTGTATCCTTTCTCCACACCCATTCAATCTGCATGCTGAGTAAATCATTCGAGAAGCTGGACTCTATGAAGAAGAATGTGACATTAGAATTGGAGGAAGACTCATCAACAACTTGCATTGTGCAGATGACAAAATCTTGCTTGCTGAAAGTGAGTGGAACTTGAAGCGCTTGCTGCAGAAGTTCAAAGACTACAACCATCAATATAGATTACCACTCAGTATCAAGAAAACAGAAATCCTCACCATAGAATGTATAGACAATATCATGATAGATTGAAAAAATATTGAAATTTTCCACAATTTTATCTTACAACAGTGAGGAAATCAGAAGAGGTATTGCATTGGGAAAGTCTGCTGTCAGCACCTTTCCAATTTACTGAGGAGCATGATGTCAGTTTAAAGACTAAGGTGTACCTGATTCAGGCCTTTTATGTTACTAGCTATGCATCTGAGAGCTGGACAAAGAATAAAGATGACAGAAAAAGAATTGATGCCTCTAAGCTGTGATGTTAGAGAAGAGTACAGATTATCTCATGGAATGCCAAGAGAACAAACAGACTTGTCTTGGAGAATGTGCAGTCAGAGTACTCCTTGGAGGCAAGGATGGCAAAGCTTTATTTCACAAACTATGGGCATGGTTTTTGGAGGGGCTATTCACAATCAACACTCTTAACACCAACAGTCAGGGAATCAAAACATGGGAAGATTGGGATTGGGAAAATCTGCTGTCATGGACCTCTCCAGAGTGCTGAAGAGCAATGATGTCAGTCTAGATACAAAAGTGCACTTAATCCAGGCCATGGTGTTCTCAATTACTTGCTATGCTTCAGAGAGTTGGGCAATGACTAAGGATGACAGAAGAATAGATGCCTTTGAATTGTGGTGCTGGAGAAGAGTCTTGAACATACCATGGACTGCCAAAAAACCAAATAGTTCTTTCTCGGAGAGGGTGAAACCAAGTCTCTCCTTGGAGACTAGGATTTTGAAGCTCCACCTCTCTTACTTTGGGCACGTGGCCAGGAGAGATCAGTCCTTGGAGAAGGACATCATACTCAGAAGGGTGAATGGACAGTGCAGGAGAGGAAGACCCCGGATGAGAAGGATTGATATAGTAACGAGTGATGGGGGTTGGTGTGTTGGAATTAGTGAGAGTGGCTCAGGACAGGGAAGGGTTCAGAGCTCCTGTACATAGGGTTTCTATACATCGCAGGTAATTCAATGGCACATAACAACAATAACATACTATGGCAGGTTTGGAAGTAGGAGAGGTATCCATTTTCTAAATACCATGCCTCTGGAAACTACAAACTTTGATAAATATCGATAGTTGTAACGGGGCTTCAGGCTTTTGTTCATAGGATTTCTGTGTGTCATGTTCAACTTGAAGGCAATCAGTAACAACAAAAATTACATTCCTGTTAGAGAGATGGTTCTTGGAAAGGTGAAGGTCAGTGAATGAGAGGAAAACTCTAAACCAGATTGATTGACACAGTGACTGTAGCAGTGGGCTCAACTGTGTCACAAATCATGAGGATGGCACAGGATAGGAGAGAGTTCAGATCTGTTGTTCATAGGGACACTTTGAATCATACTTGACTGCACCCAACAACAACAACAACAAAAAATAATTAGTATGACTCTAAGGGTATAAGGATGGATGTTGTTGTTGTTACTATGTACAGTCACCTAAGAACCAACAAATAGCAGGAGCCGATTGCCCATCTTTCTCCTGTGGAGCAGTTGATATATTTGAACCATGTACCTTTGGGTTGACAGTACAGCTCTTTACCACTAAACTTCCAGAACACCCTATTAAGGAAGGAGGTGTATAGAAATTAAAACTAGAGGGAGCCTGATTAGAAACTTAAAGCAATATATGAAGTAAAAGGTAATAAGTGTAAATGGTTAAGCGTAGAACTGCAAACTGAAAGGTTGGCAGTTCTTGACCAATCAGAGGCTCTTCAGAGGAAAGACATAGCATCTAGTTCTGAAGGATGTCTCCTTATAATTCTTAGGGAGCATAGCTCTCTTCTGTGACACACCATGTCAACATATACTGGATTAGACTCAATAATGATTAGTTTTGTTAGTTTTTTTTCCCTATAATTATATTTTATTAATTTTCATAAACATTTACAGAGATTTTGGGTTTCCAATCATTCATTGTTGCACTATTCTCTCTACCCTCCTCCCAGTTTGTTCTTGTCCAAATGCCACAGTGCTTGTCAAAGCCAGTTCTGATTAATCTTCTT